CCACATAAAGGGTTAACACAACACAGCTACAATCAGAGACACGAAGACCTCAAGCAAGAAAATGTGTAGACATAATACAATGCAGGCGTCACAATACAAGAGTCATGCAAAAATAAAAAGAACAAATTTGGATGGCTGTAAAAAAGAAAATTAAGAAAACCAAAAGTAATCCAATGATGAGCAGACGTGTTTGGGAGAGCTTGCCAGAGCTTCTTTTATGATTTTAAATATATCAATAACTTAAAGACTTTTCACACGTCAGTAAAACCTGTTCTTATTTTAATCGAAGTGTAGCAACTACGGACTTAGACAAGTCCATTCTTATGACAGTTTTAAATCATGAGAGATGTAGGTTTATGCAATCGGCTGGAGTCATTTACCATCAAATTTGTCAATAAAATGTTTTCATCACAACTATTGTGAAGACAATATGGAAGCATATTGCCATCAATGCAAGGAAAATTTAAGAAAGTATCTCGTAATGATGAGAATGTTTCTAGTCATTTCAAGATAAAAAACATGTTATATGAGAACTTATTTCATAAAAATTTGTATTTTGCTGTAGTGGTTACGGTAAAATGCCAACATCTCACAGGATACTAGAGGTGCTGGAAAAAAATAATCGATTCAAGTCTGAATCGGGATTCTTATTTATAAAGATTCAGAATCGATTCACAAAGATTCAGAATCGATTCCAGGAACTCAAATGTTTGGCATGTTACAGGTTTGAGATGCACTTTTGTATGTTTTTTTGGTCTTTGTTAGGAGAGTTAGTACTCCGTTTAATTTTGTGGTCCCATAAATTGAGATGATTTATGTTTGAATCTGCTGATAAGTGGAGACTAGAATGTAATTTTTTCCATACTCAGAAATTTGAGATATTCTCATATTTATTTTCTAAGTTGATAAATGAGTACTCAGGATTACTCATGTATTTATTTTAAGTTATTGATAAATGAGAGAAAACATTTTTCTTTGTAAGAAATCTGAGGCACTTTTTTTTAAAACAGGTTGAGGACATGTAACTTGTTTCCACAGATACTTAAACAGTATTTGACCGTATTACTTTCAAAGCTACTGTTAGGAAACTAAAGATTTGTTATATTTTACAAGGTAAGCAAAAATAAATGTTGCCTTTTGGTCAAAAGATTGTTTCTGTTTACAGTTTTAGAATCACTTTATTTTACCTTGTAAATTAGCTGTTTTTAGCATGACCAGTTTAAAGTAAAATAAAAAATTTCCCATAGCTTTAACTAACTTGCACAACAAAGTAGTTAATCCTGGAACTGACACTCTTTGTTAATATTGATTGTGAATTGATTTAAATAAGAGAATCGATTCTGAATCAAATCGGCACCCCAAGAATGGGAATCAAATCAAATCATGAGTTGCTCTGAGATTCACATCCCTACAGGATACCTGAACCTCGTCTAGAAGAGATGAAGGATGAAGATGGAGTCAGAAGGAGCTCCTTAAACGCAATCTCTCTCTCTGTGTAAAAATCTGTTCGTCTGTTTCTCTGGACAACGCAGTGTGTGTGTGTGTGTGTGTGTGTGTGTGTGTGTGTGTGTGTGTGTGTGTGTGTGTGTGTGTGTGTGTGTGTGTGTGTGTGTGTGTGTGTGTGTAGAACTCAGTGGAGAGCTCTAGGGTGTGAAATTTGTTGAGTTATTTAAGCACTGATTGGTGTCCCCTTCCCCTCGCACTAAATGATTGGCTGTACGTACGACTTACGGAATGTTACCACGTTAAAAGTATTTCGGCAGTAAGAAACACAAATGTAATAACAAAACTGCTCAACCTGTGAAAGAACAGAATTGAAAAAGAGATGCAATATATTTTTGGCCGAGCGATATTGCCACAGATTTATTAAATCGGCAGGCACAGGAACCCAAGCAGATCTGGTGCCTACAATGCCAGAAAACTACATATGGCATTGTATTCCCTTGATGGAATTAACTCTAGGACCATCAAAGTCTGAGGAGTCACGCAGAGGTTGCATGCGTTCTGCTTCACAGGTAACGACATTTACCGTAATGTTTGTTTACACTAGCGACAGTCATAATATGGTGTAAAACTACCCTGAAATGTATGTACTGCCCCCTAGTGCCAGGAAACCACACACTGCCACTTTAAGCTACTCGCAGATGGAAAAATGTATTAGTGAGTAAGAAGAAAACGCATTAAAACTTTATAATTCTGAAAAATAATTTGTCATCATCATTGATGTTCTGTTAGAAAATGAATGTGAACATAAAGAATGACAAGACAGGAAAGGAGTGAGTGTTGGGTGGAGGCTGGGGGGCGGTGGGAAGGGGAGTCTGAGATGGCCAGGACAAGGAGGCTGGCTTACGAAGCGAGGGTGGCAGTGAGGGGTGAGCTAGCATCACCAAAGTCATTTTCCAACAAGGACAACAGAGATAAGAGGAACACACCCAGGAACACTAGGCCATGTTGGAACAAAAAGAAAAGAGCCGTTTTCAAAACACTACAAATTAGAGCCCACGTCCTTTTACTGTCTCAATGTGGCTTTTTTATTACAAAGACGTGTTTTTGTAAACCTGGTAATGCTCAGCGTGACTGAAGTCAGATCTTCACCAATTCCTCCAATTAAACTGAGAATCTCCCTGTTTTACAGGGACGTGGCAGTGAAAGCAGAAGCTCATGACTTCATTACGGTGTTGACTCCGAGTTTAGCAGTTAGCTGCCAAACTGGGAGCTAAATGAGAAGAGGGAAGCGTTGGATGGGAATAGCAGTAGCGGGGCTGGGTTGGGTTTGCTGGACATGAGATGAACACGTAAACACGATATACTCACTGAGAAAGAGTCTCACAACAAAACACTTCCTACTTTCCCAACAGGAGATAATTGATTTTAAAAGTCAGATCAAAATTTCAGAAGTTTTTTTTCTTCCTTTAAACAAAAATCCACTCATGCAGGCATTAAAAGAGTTTAAAGCCACTTTGGAAACAAAACTGAAGCCAGAAATTAGAAGAAAAAATAGCAAGAGGCACACGAGCTAATTTAGAGGAAAATTAAAATCAAAGCAAGCTGCAGAACTCTTGCAATGCAAAAGAGGGTTAATTTGCTGTTATTTGTAATACTTAACTTGTTTGTCACGCTATTCTGAAATACATCCTACAAGACATGCTACTTTACATTTCTGGATCAGTAGCCACTAATCTTGAATTTCTTTGGCCGACTTTTTTTAAGCAAAAGAGTAAGCCAACATCAAAATGCAAACGGCACAAACTAAGTGTTTAAGGGGGTGGTGAGCAGCAACATCATATTCATCTAGAGACTCATGCCACACCCCTGCTGCTCGCTCCTCTGGGAAAAACATCAACACAAACAATGCATTTTACTACAACACATGCAAGTGGTGGGAGGGGGTGCATGCTCTGGGCAGGGGGCCTGGCATCGTGAAGCTTTAGGAGATCAGGAGAATGTAGAAAACGCCATAAAAGAGAAACAGTGGAGGCTTCTTGGCGTCTGAGTCAAAAAGGCAGAAAACAGGCCTTGGGGAAGCTTAGAAGCTTCTGTAACCCCCAAATTCCACTACCTCCGCTCCGCCCCCGCCTTCCGCAGCCGCTCGCTTCCGAACTCAATTTTTACTGGTACCCGCTCTACAACGGCTCCGCTCCGGTGCGGAGACCTGAGGTGGGCAAACAAGCATGCGCGGGATTTTCGAGATCTTGCGTTACAGTCCGAGCAATAAACACGGAAGTTAGATCCAAACACCCGTTGTGTGGGAGAAGCATCGACATGAACTGTTTAATCTGCCCATCATTTGTGTTGAGAGATCAGCAGTGTTTGGATCAACAAAGTGTGACTACTTTGATAGTAGAAACTGTATTTATGGCTTACTTTTGTGCATTTAAAGTTCAGCCGCCATTGATAGCTGTTAAAAGTTGTTAAACCTGTGCATATGAAACAAAAAACGCCTTTTGTTTATCGATTTATTGTGAAAAACGGAAGTTGTGCTTGCTCCTTTTCCTGTTGGGCAGTTGTGATTCCTGTCCATTTACTGCGGAGGTGCTCCGGCGTCCGGCAAAAATAGGATCGATTCCATTTTTGCCGGACGCCGGAACAGAGGGCGGCGCACTGCGGCAGTAGTGGAATTGCTCTGATTGACTACAACGGGACCGATTTTGCTCCGGAGTTCGTGCCGGAGCGGAGCGGAGGTAGTGGAATTTGGGGGTTAATGTAAAAAGAAAATTCTATTTGAACATCTCCAAACACCCAAGATGCCGAGCACCGACCCATTTCCATCAACAAGGTAGCTATAAATACAATGAACAATAAGGTAGGCACAGACCAAGCAGTTGGTTATACAGCTTGGCACGCAGACACCGGACGAGAGAGACTGCAGCAAGGGTTTGACGTGATCGTGTGTTATGTTCGTCCACACCTTAGGCTTCGACTTGGGGCTGCTGCTGTCGGGCCCATCGTCATAGGGCTCATCGGGCCGGCCGCCGGCATTCAGCCAGCGGGTGTTGTCGCGCTGGCCGCGCTGGAAGCTGTGTTTCAGTGGGGAGCGAGCACCTGAGTCACTGTCCTCCCCGTAGGAGTAACTCCCGTGGGCTGAGGAGGTGAGCTCCGCATCACTGTACTTTTTACCTTTGTCTCTCAGAGCCGGGCAGCGGTAAGGGTAGCCCGTCCTGTAGCCCTGGAAACAGAAATTCATCCAAGATTAGAGATTTCTTTTTCTTATTTGGTGTATAAAACGTGATTTTTATCACACTCATTACTCTTGCTGCTGTCCTGATGTGCCACTTTTATCTTCGAGTGCCTGCCATTTATCACTCAAGCTCACCTTACATTTCTGAGCTGTATCATTGTTGGTTAGAAACGCATCAAAACACCCGAGGAACTATTGTTTAATAAAGACAAATAACACCACGTTTTTCAACACATTTGCAGTGGTCTCTAGTATAAATGAATGCTTTGTGAGTCAATCTCTGCGGAAAAGAAGCTCTGGTGCTCCTGTTTCAGGAAGTAGAAGTAAGCCAGAGCAGAGGGGGGCAGAAAAACACAGAAATTGGAGTCTTATTTCCCGATATTCACACATCTCGCCTCTACCCCTAACTCTGCTTTGCAACATGGATGTTTTATCTCTACAAATAACACAAACCTGAAGGGGTTCTGCTATGCTGTTGAGCTGCTGATGCTAACGGTTAGTTTCTACTAGCCAAGACATTCTCTGCTGTTTCCTGGACGCTAAACCAACAACAGCCTTCCCAATTGTGAGCCATGATAGGAGAGTCTGTGAATGCTAATTTTCAATGTAACGTGCAAATGGCTTTTCTAATATTAGTTTTTCCCAGTCTATCAACAGCTAATGCAGGAAATCGGGGTAGAAGACCATTTTCATCTTTACCCTGCATGTGTAACTAAAAGTAACCGATCATAGGTTTGGCACCCATCTGCTACAGTCATCGTGTCCTTAGGCAAGACACTTAACCCACCTTGCCTGCTGATGGTGGTGGTTGGAGGGAGCGGTGGCGCCTGTGCTTGGCAGCCTCGCCACCGTCAGTGTGCCCCAGATCGGCTGCGGCTAAATTGTAGAGCATCAGTGAGTGAATGTATGAGTGCATGTGGGTGATCCATTGTGTTGTAAAGTGCCTAAGGAGGTTGTAGAACGCTAAAAGGAGCTATATTAAAAATAAGCCATTTACCATTATACTTCATAAATAACTAGTAAAAAATGAGTTCTCAATGAACTTGCTCTTAAAGAACAGGGGCCTCATTTATCAAGCTTGCTTACGCACAAAACAGGGTCGGAAAACTGCGTAAGCAACTTTCTATGCAAACTTTGGGATTTATGAAAGAAAACTTAGCAGAAAAATGTGCGCAACTTTAAGTTGACTAAGGACCTTGCTTACACACATTTTGGACATGGAGAGCACCTATAGTGCTGCTGCTGAGAAGGATAAAATAATGAAATCCTGGAGCATTATCACTTGTACTGCTTCGTTTTCACACAGAACAAGACCCCCCACACACACTCACACACAGCTTGAAGCGCAGAATACAGAATGCTGAATATCAGTAGGGGGAGAGATTGAGACGGAATGTCATGCGTCTGTGACAGTGTGTGTCCTGTCACTGTGACCCGATTGATCATACGCCCTGGCTACTTGTACAAGGGAGATCTCTGTTTGGGTGACTGGTTAGCACGCATGACTTTCACCCGGGAGTCTGGGGATTGAATCCTGATTGGACCATTTTTTTTATATCCGCCACAGATCTCTCTGAAGAATTCACAACATTGACGGCTTCAGCAACGCTGTGCCACTCCGTGGATTTTCTCTTATTTGTTTTGCAAAAGCACTTTCTTTCATTTCTCCACCTCACCCACAAGTACCTCAATTTCTGCTTCTGTGAAATTGTGCTTCCTTGATCTGCCTTGATCTACGGTCGCCATGTCATTGGCGGAGTGCTGCAACAGCCGGCTTACGTATATGCATGAGATCCACAAGGCACTTTGCGTTGACTATTTATGGCAGTAAGTGGGCGTGGTGAGGGCGGGATGTGACTAAAATGCAGCTGAGAAACTTTCTCGTTAGTCTCCGATTTATGAAGATTGCGTGCAGCTGTGTGTACTCTATGTTTGATAGATCACAAACCTACTTGGCGTAAGTACATATTTTTGCTGAGCTTAAGTACGGTTTTAGTAAGGATTCTATGCAATGTTTGATAAATGAGACCCCCCAGGACTGCAGCAGTTTAGGTGAGATGAAAAAACTATTTTCATTTTCCTTAAATTTGCTTTTAAGGCAGCACAATAATTTACACATAAACCTCTAAAAAAAATTTCTAAAGAACAAACTAAATTAATTAATCTAGTGACAAAGTCTCAGTTTTCTCCCACAACCATTCCCACCTTGATAACTGCATACTAAGCCATCATTTATGACCATACCAAATTGTCGAGCATCCTCATGAGAGCCTCAAACTCCTGCTCCCCAACTTGCCACTTGGGGTGTGTTGAGGACCCATCACCTGCAGGCTCAGGGACCCGGGGACGGGACTTATACTTTGCAGGGTCCAGCATCACCAGATTATCTGGACCTCCAGCGCTGGCCAGTGTTCGCACCTGGAAAACATCCAGGACGCACACAAACAAAGAAACCACACACATGTCAAGAACAGCAAAGGGGAAAGGTGCGGAAAAACAGCGCAAACACGGACGGACAGGATGCAAACATAAACATGAAAACAGAAATACAGATGAGAAGAGACAAAAGGTAGAGGTTGTGAAAAACGTAGTACAGGGGCGGACATCAACTTCAAAACCAACCGGCCAGCCGGGCCGGTAACTCTGAATATTTACCGGCCCCGCCAAGAATCTACCGGCCCCGCTGGTCAGCTGCCAAAACGAGTCAAAATAACAACTGAACTGTTAAATGTAATAAACCTTTATTTTGTACACATTCACAAACATAACAACGTATTCAAGTTTGAATTTGTTTGTTCCCTCAACAAAACTTGATTGTGTCGTCGCATACTTCCGGCATACAACGCAGTGCATCACCAACTCCGCTTTGCTGTATTCGAGCCTTTGGCTGTGTTCCAGATGAGCCAGTTCTGCGCAGATTAGACCAGCGGTGATCGGCGAGCAGTGCATGCCGGTTAGATTTGTGTCCGACTTGACGCGGACTTGCTCTGACGTCATGCATACGTAGGCAACGATAACCTCGTGAGATCAAGGCGGCCGCAGATTTTGGAACAAGGCACTGCAGTTGCTCTCCCTCGGCTGCTAAACCTAGGGGATGACGGGAAACGCCTGGCTCTCACCTGATCTAAGATCTGATTGGTTCACATTTTGATCCAAACATCCGGTGGTAGAACATGAAATGTTAGTTGGTCACATGTATTCTGTAAATCATGTTATGTTGATGATGACAACAATATAGGCCATAAAGAGAAATGTGTTTTGTGTTCTTTTGTCACGTTTCCTATGAGCACACTAAACCTACAGCTGATAACCTTTACTTATTATTACAGTCATGTCTACATATACAATATATGATATCCACAAGCATGTGAGGATGTGTTTCAGCTGCTAACAGGCACCAGAATTAAAATAGAAAATTGAACAAGTGTGAACGCTAACGCGATATCTTCAGCCATCGTCACCCCCGAGCTACACAAACAGGAAATTGTGTCGGACTTAAACGCCGGCTTTCAGCCACTCCCCCTGCTGCTTCCGTCTGCTCTCGTCTGTTTTCCAGGCGAGGCGCTGCTCAACTCGAGCACGGCCATTCTCTGCGCCTCCCGTCTTCTTTAAACCGCCAAGAATCATTCCACCTACGCACACACTTCTCTGCTTCATACCGTTTCGAACTGTCTCGCTTCTCCTCACCAGTTTTAAAGCGTTTTGCCGGAGATTTCATCAAGAAATCCCATCCCTGTGGTGGCGCCATCTTCCTGCGTGCTTGTGTGTTTCTAGCGTGGTTCCACTTCGTCTTTTATAGTGAACTTATAGTTCACGTGACTATAACTAGACTCGTGCAGTACGTGCACGAATCGTACAAGTGCAGTAAGTGGCTAGAGGCGCGCAGGTTCACGAGCGCCAAACGAAAACGGCAGCTTCCTACAGGGCGGGGCCATGATGTAGGTGAAACCAGTGTATAAATGACAAACAAGGCTTGGGCGCCACCCGGGCGGTAAGTCGTCAAGTATTTACTGCCCGACGAGAAAATTTATCGCCATTGGCGCTCGGGCGCATTAAAGGTCCACCGCTGAATGTAGACAAACATGGTGGCAAATAAAACCCAAATTGTTTGAGAAGATTTAGCATATTTCAAAGGAAGTAGCCTTCCTAAAAGCACGCTTGTGTCCTACCTGGATCTCACAGGCAGTCACCAGGTTGTGGATGTAATAAAAAGCCTCTTCCACTGTTTCTCCTACTGACAACAAGCCGTGGTTTCTTAGGATCAGAACCTGAAACAGAATACATATCCTGAGTTACAACGATAATGTTTACCTTCTTTCATTTCTCTTCTTCACACGGTCCTCTTACTTTGCTTGTTGGCCCAAGATTCTTCTGGATTAGAGCCCTTTCTTCATTGTCTACCAGAATGCCGTGGTAGTCGTGATATCTCACCTCCCCCAGGGACAGTGCCTCGGGTGAGATGGGCAGCAGCCCGCACTTCATGGCTGAAACCTGGAACCAAAATGAAACGAGATCATGATACGTTTGCCCGAGCTTTGGTCACACTCTAGATCTGGTAACAGCACTTACTGCAGCGCCTGCAGCTGTGTGTATGTGTACAACACACTTGACGTCAGGCCTTGCGGCATAAATGGCTGAGTGGAGGGTGAAACCGGCCTGGTTGACTCCAAGGTTGGTGCTTCCTCGGTCCACGATCTCACCATCAAGGTTTATCTTCACCTGAGGGGCGTGACACAAAAAGGGTTCAATCACAGCCGCAGTCGGCACCTTTTTGTGTTTATTTCCAAATCAAATTTTAGGAAGAGGGGGGGGAATAACATAACTAAACGGTAGAAAAGCGGGGCAGTTTAACAGTTAAGACATTTGATCACAAAAGATTCTTACCAGACTAGAGGCTGTTACTTCACTGTACAGAAGCCCAAAGGGGACAATAAGGAAGCGCTCCTGGTCTGAATTCAGCCTCACCTGCAGATCAAGAAGAGAATAATCACTTTGTTTTGTATAAAAATGCAAATCAATTAGAAGTTTCCTTAACATAATAAACTACAAAGTAGAATCAAAGTTCCTGAAAAAGTAGTCAACTACTTTTTGAAATTATGCAATTCAAAGATCCAACCCCCTTTTCTCCAGGCTTCTCCACTAAGACACGTGTCCAGAAGGCACTCTAAGCTTTTATGTTTTAGACCAGTTGTTGGCACCTTTTCTGCCATAATTCCTAATGTTAAGCATATACGCAACAATTTAGCATGCTAGCTAATAGTTTGGAGTAACCCCCAAATTCCACTACCTCCGCTCCGGTCCGCCCCCGCCTTCCGCAGCCGCTCGCTTCCGAACTCAATTTTTACTGGTACCCGCTCTACAACGGCTCCGCTCCGGTGCGGAGACCTGAGGTGGGCAAACAAGCATGCGCGGGATTTTCGAGATCTTGCAATACAGTCCCAGCAATAAACGCGGAAGTTAGATCCAAACACCCGTTGTGTGGGAGAAGCATCGAAATGAACTGTTTAATCTGCCCATCATTTGTGTTGAGAGATCAGCAGTGTTTGGATCAACAAAGTGTGACTACTTTGATAGTGGAAACTGTATTTATGGCTTACTTTTGTGCATTTAAACTTCAGTCGCCATTGATAGTTGTTAAAAGTTGTTAAACCTGTGCATATGAAACAAAAAACGCCTTTTGTTTATCGATTTAGTGTGAAAAACGGAAGTTGTGCTTGCTCCTTTTCCTGTTGGGCGGTTGTGATTTCTGTCCATTTACTGCGGAGGTGCTCCGGCGTCCGGCAAAAATAGGATCGATCCTATTTTTGCCGGACGCCGGAACAGAGGGCGGCACACTGCGCCGCCCTGCCAGAGCACGGCCGCAGTAGTGGAATTGCTCTGATTGATTACAACGGGACCGATTTTGCTCCGGCGTTCGTGTCGGAGCGGAGGTAGTGGAATTTGGGGGTAATGGGTCTCTGATGAAAACCACAAGAGGGTTCGAAACTGTCAGCAAGGTAAAAAATAAATAAATAAAACACCTTTCCTGTATTAAAAAAAAAGAACCTAGAAATGCAATCAGAAGAAACACACAGAAGGAATATACAAAAGAAATTTGGAGTTTTAATGGTGAGAAATTAGGAAAATTATAGCTTTCTTGGTTTATTCTCATCGTAGCTCATCCCTACCAGTGTGTGAATGTGTGTGTGAATGGGTGAATGACGGGTTGTGTTGTAAAGTGCCTTGAGGGGTTCCAGGACTCTAGAAGGCCCTACATAGAATACAGGCCATTTACCATTCTCAACACAATACAAATCACACTAGCTCAGCGCCAACAACAATCTGGGAAAACCCCACGAACAGGTCAGAACTTCCAGAACCCACCCAGATTCGACTCTACCAGCCAACAGAGGACACGCTGCGTCCACAGACAACAGATCCATCACCTAAACATTTTACAACAAGAACAGAACCAAACTCTAAACAGAACATATTTACAACTTGAAAACGGAACAGAACACTCCGCCCGAAAGACTAGACAGCTCGGCTCTGACTTCACTTCCTGTTCAGCTGCTCCAAGAGGGAAACGTGCTACTGGTGAACATAGAGGGGTATGCACGGGGGCTGGGGAGTGTCAATGTGCTGCAGTTTGAATGGATGCTTCGCAATCCTGTCATTAAGACCTGGGCATTCATGATGATTGGATGAGCTTATTTTAGAGGCAATTAAAATTATTAATTTATTTTTTAAATATTGGTTCCCATGGGTATGTGAAGAGCTTCTCAAGCAATATGACAAAAATTGCTCCAGAAAAACATCCTACTGCACTTTTAACAATAAGTCTAAAATCCCTGCTAGAATTGTAGCTTTAACATATGCTGAAGGACAAAGAAACGTCAAGATACGATAACATATTAATCAGAAGGATGGGCTTACAGTGAGGTGGTTGTAGATAAGCTCAGACCAGCCAAACAAGTCAGAGAGACGATAAAAAGCAGCCAGTTTGCAGCGAAGCAGCTTCTCGCCCTTTTCATAGGAAATGGAGTCTGAACCTCGCAGATCATTGACAGGAGTCACCATCCCCAAACCTGAGGGACAGAATTAATAAAAGTTGTTTTAAATCACACATTTATGTTCCTCATCAACAAAAGACAGAACGTTTAGAAATATTCTGCTTATGAATAAAGCCTCTGTGGTGAAATCAGCTCCGGCATACGCTGCATTACTCATCCTGAGAGTAGACAAAGCAGAGCTGAGGTCAGCAAGGTCACACATGCTTATTGTTCTTTCTACTTACTCATGTTGAGTGCAGCCATGCCTCCTTGTGGTGCAGCCGGATACATGGAAGGCATGCTGGTGGTCATGAAGTCAGCAATCTGCTGCAGTGCCAGCAGGCTCGTGGGCGTCTTCCCCTTCTTCAGCTGGTCATGGATCATGGTCTCCAGCTCTTCACAGAACGCCTGTCAGTCAGAATAAGCGAGAAAACACAAATATGCTCATCGCAAGCTGGTTTTCACATTTCTAATGAAAGTGGTTATTTTTAAAGAGTCAGTCCAGTGTTTTACAACAGACCACTGAGCATTCAGCTGGTCGACATTATACTGTTTATACTGGGTCAGTTATGTGATATTAGAAAAGGCTGCTTACTTTATTCAACACAGAATCATAAACGATGTTTTGAAATGTTAATGTATTGCTTTCATTTAGGATTGGGCGATTTATATACATTTTCCCACCGTCAATCGTCAGTCCAAGAAATGACGATGGGCAATTTATTCGTGCATGTAACATCATGATGCACGGACTGATTCGCGAATACAGAAGTCCAAAAACAGAATATTTTTTCATAGAAGTGCAACGCAAATGTTTGCTGGAAGAGAAATTTTCATTTTTATTTTTGTAGTTTTGCATTTATAGTTTGGTAGACTTGCGTATAAATGGCACGTATTAACTTAGTTAAAGTGTTCCCCTGTTGTCCAACGCTAATGGAGATCTTTTCTTGATCACAGATTGCGATGTTCTCTCTGCGTAACGTCTAAAACATCTGTCATTGACAAACTAACTCACGGGAAAACAAACATATCACCTCTTGTAAAAACAACCGTAATGGCTCAGCCCATTGCCGATGGTTGAATAATTCTTCCCACCACCCAACCCTACTTTCATTAAAACCAAACAGTATTTTAGTGAGTTTGTCCAGAGAAGAGGTCTGCTGACCGGGCTCTGTAGTATCATGGACACCCTCTTCCTCTGCTCCATCATGTTGAAGTCCTGTCTCAGGTCAGGAGCCATATTCCTCTCTCTCTGGTACTCTGGACTGCTCTCGTCCACCCGGTCAAAATAGCGCTCCTTGTGTGGGGCTGTGGTGGGAGGGGGAGCCGTCACCACACCGGCACCTGACTCTCCGTTCATCTTGAGTGGCGTCCTACAACAGAGACAGAAAGACAAATACATTTATGATAGGGCTGCACGATATTAGGAAAACCTGCAATATTCGATGACAGTGATTAATATTGCGATGACGATATTACTTGCGGTAAGTAAAAACTTAACTCAGAAACTAAAATAATCAAAAACAAAGAAATAAAAAAAGTAATAAAAATGAGAAAAGCAAAAGATGTGAAAAGGAAAGGGAAAAAGAAAATAAACAAGAAAAGGCAATCAGTGGATCCCAGGAAAAGCAGTATCAGCAGAAAGAGCAGAACTAAGCTAACTCAGGTGTTTGTTAACCATCAAAATTAAGGGCCGTCCGCCTTGGGGGCGGGACTCTAACCTATGAGAACCCACCCAATTGGCCAAATGGGTGAAGAGCTCCATTTAATTTGCTAAAAAATGTAATACTTTCGTTTGATTGACAGAATGCATTATGTGTAGTAAACATTTGAGCTGACCATTCATTATGATATTTATCTGTTCTTTGCAATATGCGTATTGTGCATGTTGATATCGCGATAACGATATATTTACGATAGATTGTGCAGCCCTAGCTTCTGATGGTCGGGAAACAAGCGGCACCAATGACTTCACAAATCTAGATTCAATTCAATAATACTTTAATCCCAGAGGGAAATTAGGAGTTTCAGTACATACAATTCTAAGATCAGACATACATGCATACATACATACATACATACATACATACATACATGACAAGAATTGGTGACTGTGATCACTCGCAACCCGAGTTAGGCTACCATAATAGATCAAGAGGGTTTATATGAGGACAGAGTCGGGGGGAGGGAAAAAAATGGCACTTCAGAGTTACTCTCACCTGAGGGTAGCTTTGCTATGCAAAAAAACACCTCAAACAGATATGCACACACTTAAGACTTTACACAACATATGTGTCCACAAGGTGGGGAGGTAGGGTTGGGACTCTCCTCACTTCGGTGCAGCCGCATGGAGCAGCACTTATCACCTCCGTTTGGACGGGGGGGGGGGGGGGGGGGGGGGGGTATTAATGGGTTGGAGAGCACAGTGGCTCCTGGATATGGTTCAATGGCCATCACAGGTCACAGTCCCACCCAGGCTGGGAGAGGGAGAAAGAGTTGCCTAGCGACGGCAGCATTCCACATTTCTTCTGAGGGGGAGTTTTTACTTCAGCCTCACAGGCTCAAGGGCACCAGATTCAGATAAGGAATGTTTTGGGGACAGACAGAGATAATTTCCTCTCTGCCTTAGAGTTCTGTTGGTCATCAACCCCTCTAGATCCAATAATGGCATAATTAATCTATCCCAATCCATGCTAATCTGTCCACAACTCTGTCCTTGATTAAATCCACCTTCTGTGTCAGAGCCTGAATCTCAGCCAAAGTTCCAAGTTTACGACTCATCTCGACAATTATATGAGTTTGTGCGTTCACAGCGCGATGCATTCCATCCCTGAGCTCCGGGATTGAGCCAATATTCCTCGAAAGCTCGGTCATTTTCCGGTAAGCCAGGTAACCGCTCAGGCCAAACAGCAGGAATCCTGACACCAAAACCACGAATATCCAGACATCTTCAGAATCCTCTACAGACAGTTGAGAGAGGCATATCAGGTTCCACTGTACAGGGTATATACAGCAATCCTTAAGTAAAATTTACTACTTTTTAATACTTTTTTTTACTACCTTCAGAATTTTTTTAAAACCATCACAACACTAAATTGCAAGTGTTAATCAGCGACCTATTTACACATATTTTAACATATATAACATACAAAAAGCATAGACTTAGAGACTCACTGATGTTGACAACGTATTGCGCATATTTATTTTACTTAGAAAATATGCCAGGCACTTCTTTTCAGCGGTTCAGACAGTTGACCACGGGGCCTGAAATGATGCAGAACGACCACTGAATATGACGTCATCATAATGTGACCGGATATGCTAAAGTAGGGCTGCTCAATTATGGCAAAAACAATAATCACGATTATTGTGACTGAAATTGAGATCTCGATTATTTAAGACGATTTTTCAATTTATGTAGATTTTTTTAATTTATTTTTATTCAGTCATAAAACTGCTCAGGGCACAATCAGGGCAAAAATAAACAAGAAACAAGATGATCACTAAAAGAACTCCTGATTCCCAGTATAAAAAGACCAATATACTTATAGCTCATAGTTTATGACCCAAGGGCTATAGACCTTGGTTTAACTCATGTAAGTCTAACCAGTACAGACCCAAATACCAATATCTTGCAAATACTGACAGCAAGAATTATACAGTGGCATTTATAACAAATAAATGCAAATAAATTAATGTTCACAAAATGTTGCATAACATTTATTGAGTCATGTCAAGGTGCTGTAGGAGAGTGCACTAGCACCGTGTCCTCAGAGAGATTAGTTATTAGTTATCAGCGTGAGGAACTTATTTCTACCTTATTTATAAACTATTTACAAGTCCATCAGTTAATGTAATAATTGTCCCAACCACAGCTGCACCCCCCACCCCCCAACCCGGTCTCACAGCAATCGGGGCAAGCTGCATGTGTGTTTAGCGCGCCGCACGCGCACACTTAGCCGTTTTTAGTGGCTCAGGAGCCCGCAGGTGCAGTGTGTGTGTCACTCACTCTGGTTACTCCAACAGGGAGCCGGCTCCGAGAGCCGTTTCTTTAGCGACCGACACATCACTACATCATTCCCTTTCCTAATGTCCTGAAGAACGGTCCGGAGCGCAGGCGGAGTGTTTAGCTAACCTGCAGCAGGAAATGTCGACGATAGTTATCCAGAAAGTAGCTAAGGGTTACCAGAGATGTTTCTGAGGTGTTCGCTAGGTACTTTTAAGATTTAAAAAGTCAAGAAGGGGGTCTGAAAAGCTGTTGGAAATAGCGTCAAAGTCGCTAAGTTGGCAACGGAGCGCTTCATTTGTAACTCAGGGCAGCTCAAGTGGGAGGAGCAAATAATCGGCTTGTTTTATTTTTATAATCGTTCAAAACATTTCATTCGGAATATATTTCTATGTCGATGTTCAGAATACGACACCTGATAGTCTGAAAAAAATAATACCTAACTTGGAAAAAATAATACCTCTGAGACCAAATTTAACACTTTTAATGGCCTTAAATTTGACTATTTTTATTTATCACTTTTTAATACTTTTTAAAACCCCGCGGACACCCTGACTGTAGAGCCCTGCACGGGCCTAAAATCTGAGCCCATGTCCGGCCCGGCCCGAGGGGGTGGAGCCCCAGCCCGACCCGGTCCGAAAAGGTTTTCAGGATTCTCTAGCCCGACCCGAGCCAGACTTTTTTTAACCAACTAAATGAAAACAAAAGTGCGTCAATCCTGACCAATGTGTTAAAAGACAGGCAGGATTCGATCAATTTGTTTTTCCCTCATTTACCGTCACGGAGATGGCGGTGCACTGGCTCTGGTGGTAATCAAGTAAAATTTTATCTCTTTCCAACAATTTTCACAAGAAAACAAAACAGTCAAAAGCAGGGCTTGTGTTGACCGGATAGTTCCCGTATTTGACCGTTTATTTTGACGGAGAAAGAATAGAAAGAATTACCCCGACGCATGCAGACGAACTGACATTTTATTCTACGCACATCGCAGATGTTGCTAAATCACCCAAGAAAAGATTCCCATCTGAACATCTGAGCTGGACACTGCTCAGCGCAGCTCGCTGTCAGCGCATATGTGCACAGCGAGCTGAAGTTGTGGAGATTGGCTTGGAGCACGTCGCAGAACCAGAGCGCATGCGGGAAGGTTCCTCCCACTGAAGCGAGTGTTTTCCAAACCCTGTCTCTCAGAGAGACTTGTTACTTATAAAATGTTCCCTGATTATGAAACTTTGGCTGAATAGTGCTTGTTCCTGTCTCCAATGTGGCAACGCATCCAGGAGCCGTCTGAGGAGAAGCCCAGAATCTCACATCCTCTTCAGCTCAGAAAGCGCATATGATTACGCACAAGCGTGACCCATCAACCCGGTCTCACACTAAGACTTGGTTGGGCCTGTTCAGGTTCACGCAGACAATCTTTACATAAAATTGACTTACAGATATAAAATTAATTCAGTAAAATATAAAGCATTTTATTTATATATCCATTCATTATTTTACAAGCACAGAGAGCCGCATCAGATTCAGATCAGCGGGAAGATTCCTCCGACTGAATTCAGTCGGAGGAATCTTCCTGCATGCGCTCTGGTTCTGCGACGCGCTCCAAGCCCCTCTCCACATCTTCAGCTCGCTGTGCACATATGCGCTGACAGCGAGCTGCGCTGAGCAGTGTCCAGCTCAGATGTTCAGATGGGAATCTTTTCTTGAGCGATTTAGCTACATCTGCGATGTGCGTAGAATAAAGTGTCAGTTCGTCTGCATGCGTCGGGGTAATTCTTTCTCCGTCAAAATAAACTGTCATATACGGGAACTGTCCGGTCAACACAAGCCCTGCTTTTAACTGTTTTGTTTTCTTGTGAAAATAGATAAAATTAAACTTGATTAACACCAGAGACAATGCGCACTGCGCCGTTATCTCCGTCACTGTAAATGAGGGGAAAACAAAATGATCGGATTCTTTTCTGACCTTCCCCACCTACAAAGTTTAATTACAACAATCAAACATGACAGAGCCTGGATTTGTATTCTGAACAGTCTAAACATGTTTTAAAAAGAAACGTATGACAAAAGTGGCACCTGCTCAGTAAAACCACCAACAGGGTGAAAAATATCAAAATATTGTAGGCAGAGACGGGCTACAACTTCTGGATCCACTTTATATAAATCGTTTAATTGATTATCTTTTTATGAAAGATAACTTTGACGTACACGAGCGACCGGTACTGGCTGCTGTCACCCGTTGTGAGCAGCGCTCTGCTGTCTGAGGGTAGGCCCCGCCCACAACGCCGTGGCTGCTGTGGCTCCCAGTGTTTTCTTTACTGTGGGAAACGGGTAATAATGGCTCTTTGATGGGAACAGGTTGCCGACCCC